GTCTTACCATGCAACGACTCTGTGAATGCACTGGAGAGGTGTAGTGGGAGAGTCCTCCGTCAGGAATGAGATATGTGTGTCGACTTTCTATTCTCCCTCAAAATTATCGTGCCATAACGCTGCCCAGAGCAGCTCTGCTAACATGCAGTATTTTTGTATGGTGCGTTTTTCTGTCTTAACAAAAGGGGAACAAAGGTGTTTAAGTTCACCTAGGATGATTTGTCTTAATTTTCACATGGTCTTACTGAGGTGATGTGAATTGAAACATGCATTCTTTTTTTTTTTTGGCGGGGAGGGGGGAATGTGCTGCAAAAGTTTGAAAAGGGACCTTGAAAGTGCTTGAATTTGACCCTGAAAAAGGTGTATTAACCCTGTGTACACCCAACACTGAGCCTCCAATCACCAGTCCAACAAACCTGAAGTTTGCTGATGAGACCGCCATCATTGGGCTCATCTCAGGTGGAGATGAGGAGCTCAGTGCTGCCAAAACAATGGAGCTCATGGTGGACCTCGGGTTGAAACTAGCCCCTCAGATCCCATCTTCCTGCATGCCTGCCCAGTGGAGACAGTGAAGTCCTTACACTTACACTTTAATTGGCTGCAATCTGCCTTCCCTACAAGACCTATTTAGGGATTTATCTACCTTTAAAAGCAGGGTCAGACCATCCGCAGCTCTTATTACGCTGCCTTGATGATGTCAAAAAGTGGTTGTCATTAAATTTTTTAAAGCTAAATGAAAATAAAACTGAGGTTGTCATTTTTGGAAACTTAATCATATCGACAGCACTCTGGGCGCCCTTTCCTTCTATTGTAAACACATGTAAAAAACCTCGGTGTCTATATTGATGGTTCTTTTAAATTGAATAAGCAGGTGAGTGCAGTAGTTCAGTCCTGCTTCTTTCAGTTAATGCAGCTAGCCAAGGTAAAGCCATACCTCCCGGCTAACATCTTTGAGCGTGTTATTCACCTTTTCCTTACTTGCAGATTAGACTACTGCAATTCATTGTATTATGGTCTAGATCAGGCCACCATCCATCGTCTTCAGATGGTTCAAAATGCAGCTGCTCGCCTGCTAACTGGTACCAAACGGAGAGAGCATATAACCCCAGTTTTAGCTTCTTTACACTGGCTTCCTGTCTCCTACAGGATCCAATTTAAACTTTTACTTTTTGTTTTTAAGTCACTTAAAGCCCGAGCCCCTCCTTACCTGTCTGAGCTCCTCTGTGCCTATGCTCCAGGAAAAACCATGAGGTCTAGCTCAGAATTAATGTTGTCCATCCCACGGACTAATCTCAAATCTCGTGGTGATAGATCCTTCTCTGTGGCAGGTCCCAGACTTTGGAATAGTCTCCCCTTAAATATTAGATCTGCACAAACACTTGAGCAATTTAAATCATTATTAAAGAGACATTTTTATGCCCTGGCTTTTAACACACTATGACCCAAGCATTTTGTTCTTATTTGAAATAGTTTTAGTTATTGTTTTAATTCTTTTATAGTCCTATTATTCTTTTATATTGTTATTGTATTACATTGCTGCTTTTTAATGCTACTTTTTTATTGTTAAGCACTTTGTGCAGCATCGGCTTTTTGAAATGTGCTCTATAAATAAATTTGACCTTGACCTGCACACCTCCAGGACACTGAGACGGACGAAGAAGATTGCTGCCACTTTGCATATCATGCCGTACCTTATATATACCTTGCATACATATTTCTTCATTTCTAATTTGTGATCTATATCTGTAGGTAGTTAGTATATATTCTCTTTGTGTGTATTTCTTTTTCATATTTGTAATATTTACATAGAAATGTACCATATATTCTATCTCTGTACCACTGTTTGTTGTGGTACAGAGATAGAATATAACAACGACAAATTCCTTGTTTGTGTTCAAACTTCGCAATGATAGTGATTCAGTTTCTAAATATAGTGTTGTGGTGGAATTAAGGCACGACGGGACCACAGATCCATGTTTTCTTTATTTAACATTTGCATCACACCACCACAAACCCCACCAACCCCTGAGTCCCCGTGTTTTAACACGGCGGGCGTGATTGCGGATGCCATGCAGGTGCGTCCGCACGGCACCGCAGACCACGCCCCACCACAAGCGTCTTAAAAATTAACATGAGAAGTAATTGCATCTTTGTATATGCATGTTGCAAACTTTGAATAAGTTATGTGGATGATGACATCTGATGCATACATTTTTGCATTTTCATTGCATAATAAAACGCTTTGTGTATCTGTTCACAAGCTAATCAAAATGCACGGACTAAACCCGCTATGTGTGTAAAGACATTTAAACCAGTTGCGCGTAGATGAGCCTCAAGAATGCTGCATGTGCATTAATAGTAATATTACATTCATAATCAGTCTGAATCCATTTTTAGACATTGTCTGCTGGATGTGACAGACAGGATTAGTACTTGACTCAAGTCAAGATTTGCTACATCGGGACCTTAAATATGGACACTGACCTCCATCTGTTTGTGGATCCAGCTGAGAGCGAGTGTGATGCGGGTGTAAACGCCCGGCTTGTTTATGTGAGCACAGCCAATGCCCCAACTGGTTGCTCCCACTAGCTTCCACACAGACGAGTCCTCACAGGCAAGCGGACCGCCGCTGTCCCCCTGGAAACACCAGATAGGTGAAAACATACATACGCCCCTTTTCCATTAGTACCTAATCATGTCGACTTGCCATGGATTGTGTCATGTATTTAATATATAATCTTAGTGCTTATTGTCTGATTATATTGTTTTATGTATGCCAGACCCAGATGAGAACTATGTTAAGGGTGACAGGTTGCCCTGGCAACAGACTTTAGAAAGAGGAAGTGCAAAGTTGCACCGGAAATTTGACACAAAGAAAAGAGGAACTTGTACCATATAATGTTTGTATCAAAACTGGGTGTGACGTGCTACAAAATATAGCAAGACGGGGTGCTGATGCCTTAGACTTGGGCTGGCGTGTTTGTGTGTCTGCTCAGTCTCCATTTTCCGGAAAATGTAAAATTAAAGATAATTTTTTGAGTTAGACCACTTTGAGCCGTGTCTTTCTTTGCCGTTAGAGAATAAAATGAATGGAATTTAATAATAGACTCGACTTGGATCGACTGGTTTGCCATTACAACCCTGGTACCTCGTTTGCGTGCTTGTGGTCATAGCAACGCTTACAGTAGTTTAAATCTGTGCTCTGTCATTCTCCCTTTCAGACTCTCATCTGTGCAATCCACTTCCTCCCCATAAAACTAATATATCTCATTTTAGTGCAAAAGGAAACTAGCTCTACCTGACAAGAGTCAATTCCACCTTCCAGGTATCCTGCACAGATCATCCAGGAGGAGATTAAGCCCTTGTAAACCTCTGGTTTGTTGCAGTTCTGGTTGGAGATAAGTGGTACCACAGCTGAGCGCAGAACAACACTAGTGTCTCCTGTTAAAAAGAATTTCAACCATATAAATGTTGAAATTCAGTATAAATTCAGTATAAATTCAGAAATTCAGATGATCCCCACAAAAACACCCTAAACAACACCTAACTGAACAGAATACAAAATAAGCTTTAGATGTCTACACTCACCATCTTCCTCTGTTGCACCCCAACCAGAGATCCAGCACAAGGTGCCCTCCTTAAACTCCTCTCCATGGCTGGGCAGGCAGATGGGCTGCACAGAGCCTGCAGGGAAAAGTGTTACTGATACATGTCAGACTTATTCATACAATCTGATCTATGGGACTCCAAGGTCAGGAAGAAAATATCCTAGGAGAGAAAGTAAAGCAGAAGGGAGGGAAGAGAGTGAAAGATCCCTAAACAGGACTGAAAGGAAGATTATCTGATAGCTGTCACGTATTTTAAGTTTGCCAGACACGGAACGATCTTTGATGCAGTGCACTATGCAGTTTATAGGTCTAAAAGTACAATACGGGGAAAAAATAAGGCCGTCAATAATTTAGATTTACCAGTGAACAGAGAACGTACACCAACTCATGGGGCAACTGGTGTTCAGTGTGCAATCACTGTTGGGAACCCATTTGAAGTGGGATGTGTTCTGATATGTGCTTTTCTATGTAGTAAAATCTATACTAATAAGGATGCATTTACTGTTGTATGTAGTGAAATGTATTTGCATAGCCATGCTCATTGTTCGCTTGCAGTATGTGCTGAAGACATTCTAACAAAGATGCACTTACAGGAATATGAAGTAAACTACAAAGAATGTGAATAACAAAAGTAGTAAATCTGCCTGGTCTGGGGATTGAACTGCATCCTGTGAGTCTGCCAATGAAGACACCTGGATCACTATAGCTTTGGCTATAAATAATGAGTGTTAGGGAGTGTTGTCAAGGAAAAAAGTTGTAGCGAATGAGAGGTTGAAGGATACTAATACCATTAACTTCAAGTTGCTTGGCCAGTTTCATCAGTGCAATGTCATAGTCGAGTCCTTTTTGTCGGTAACGATTATGGTATACGATTTTCTCAACAGCCAAAGCCTGGGCCCCGTGAAGCGGCTGCTCTGTCAGTCCCACATAGACCGCCCACATGGAGGAGTTTACAAACCTGAGCACAAACAGCAAGAAAAGATCCGGGGGGTGGGGGGGACAAAACGGAAAAAAGACATGAGCACACAACAAATAGGGTAGGCTCAGTCTCAGTCTGTCCCAGTCGTTCCATCAGCCTCAGTGTGATCTTATAAGTGCTGCAAAGTGTGAACAATAACAGATGATAACTGAGAAAAGTTTACGTCAATCTAAAATGTTCCTGATGTTTGCATTTAATAAATAAACATACTGAACGTGACCTCAACCGTTGTTGGCCAGCAGCGTGGTACATTGACTTGTTCTTATAGAACCTTTCTGCTCTACCTGTACACTCAAAGCATTTTAGACAACATCAGTCATACTCTGATGGCTTCATCAGAGAGCAACTTTGGAAATGATCAGTAGCTTGCCCACAAGTTTTTGGCAAGCAGGCTGGAACAGTCACCAAAATAGCAACCCTCTGATTAGCAGATGAGCTGCTCTACCTCCTGAGCTACAGCCACTCAGAGTGGAAATTATGTTACTGAAAACAGAGTAGAAGGAGAGGAGGAAAACCTGTTTGAGATAGAGAAAGAAAAGGAAACATTGGAGAAAGGAGGAAAGAATCAGGGCTATGACTGGTAAATAGAGCGAGCTGGCTGATATGGGAGGCGGAGCCTTCAGTTTTCAGGCCCCTCTTCTGTGGAACCAGCTTCCAGTTTGGATTCAGGAGACAGACACTATCTCTACTTTCAAGATTAGGCTTCAAACTTTCCTTTTTGCTAAAGCATATAGTTAGGGCTGGACCAGGTGACCCTGAATCCTCTGGAAAAGGAAAAAGTTTTTCCTCTCCAGTCACCTTTCTCACTCACTGTGTTAACAGACCTCTCTGCATTGAATCATATCTGTTATTAACCTCTGTCTCTCTTCCACAGCATGTCTTTATCCTGTCTTCCTTCTCTCACCCCAACCGGTCGCAGCAGATGGCCCCGCCCCTCCCTGAGCCTGGTTCTGCCGGAGGTTTCTTCCTGTTAAAAGGGAGTTTTTCCTTCCCACTGTCGCCAAAGTGCTTGCTCATATGATTGTTGGGTTTTTCTCTGTATGCATTATTGTACGATCTACTGTACAATGTATGGCGCCTTGAGGTGACTGTTGTGGTTTGGTGCTGTATAAATAAAATTGAATTGAAATTGAATATTGTTGTTTTGGAATGCCAGGAGACATCTTTTTCCAATGTCTACTGAACATCTAGTGTTGTTGTCTGTACGACCTCCATGTATGGGCCAAAATGTGGTTGTTGTGGACGTCTTTTCACTGTCAAACTTCAACTCATTACAGACATGTTTTTATACTGCTTCCATAGGCTCTGTAGTCTCATGTTTCGAGAGGGTGGAGGGCATGTTTTATGTACTGAAACAGTTATGTGTGAAGGAATGCAGAGTGATTAGCGGACAACTCCAAGATGTCGCGTGCTCTGGATGCTAAAGCAAAAGTGAGCAGCTGCACTGTGGATTTCGAGCTTCTCACAGGTGGTTTGCAAAATGTGTGCATGGACACAGACTATCAAGCAGTCTGGTTCATACAAATACAAATCTTCTTGTACTTTCCGTTGCAACTTCTCTCAATCCTGCTACCGATCACAACCACATTCACTTCTTCTTACAAAGCTCTTCACAATAAAACAGGATGCTTGTAAAATTGAACCATGATACAAATGCTCTTTTAAACGTATTAAACACAGTGTACTCCATGTTTTGTGCTCTATATTTCCCCCCTGGGCCAAATCATTAGGCATTACAACAATATTTCCTATCATCTCTATGCTGATGACATTCAGTTATACTGTTCTTTCAAAGTCTGAGTTTTAAATGGTCTTGTTTAAGTAATTGCCCGGCAGATAACAAGCAATGGTTAAACAACAACTTCCTTGCCAGGAAACTTTAGGTTTCACTTTAAAATGTTGGTTTTAACCTTAAGGGCCCTGCATGGTCAAGCTCCCCATTTTATATCTGATCTGCTGAAACCTCATCCCTCTTCCCGAGCGCTGAGGTCATCAGGTCAGAGGCTGCTGTGGATAGTAGTGATGTGCAGATCGATATTGAAATATCGATTCTTCCGATACCAGTAATTTATGTTCTAGAATCGATTCTCATCGATATTTTAGTACTTTGGGGTAATTTTTGTAGTTTATCATTAACAGGAACACAGTGGAAAGAAACTACATCATTTGGATTGTCTACATTCAAAGGAACTACTTCCTCTTCTGCCTTTCATTGTCATATGCGAAACACGGCTGTATAAATGTGTTGCAGCCGCTGGCGTGCGCACTCACAACACTGGCTGAGCGTAAACTGAGTTTACGTATTTTATCTCCACAAACGGCCACGACACGGTTTGCGATACATGTGGCAAGAAAGTGAGATGTTGTGGCAACAGCACTGACCTCGTCAAACACCTCAGAGTAAATCATATCACAGAATAGGATGAAATATGTTGAGGCAAAGTGAAGAGGAGGACAGGGACAGGTGCTGCTAGGGCGAGACAGACGTCTCTCACGGAGTCCTTCAGTGCTGCAGGCAGGCAACGTGTTCAAATAGCCACAACTTCAGTTTTTTATTTCTATATCATAATTCTGCATTATTAAGCTATTATTATTATTATTACACAATTACCAGTTTGTGGTTTTCTTTTTTACAGACACAAAGAGTGAGAGAGATCATGTTCTACATTACTTTAAAAGAAGAAGAAGGGATTTTCAGAGCTGTACATATTTGAAGCAGACATCATAGAAACATGGGTCAACCCTGTTTTTGGCATTGAGTGTTAAATTGTGAGAGAGCAAAGAAAAGTTAGACGATGTTTGTACTATTGAGAACAACTATATACATAAAAACCACGTAAACAGACATGAAAAAGGATGTGTCTGTAAAACTGTCTGTAACCTCTGAGAGCTGTAAGATAGACCGTTTCTGCTATCAAAACAGTTTGTGTTGTTTAATCCTGAACCATTCTTGGTCAGGACACTTACATCATCAGAGAAAGCTCATGTTACTCCACACACAGTTAGGAAATCACAATGTTTGACCATAAAATCCCAGAATCATTCTGGGACAATCATTTCTGCAGCAGCAGAAAAATCTTTTTCCATGCCACTGTGCTTTGAAAACAGAAAATGTTGAAACTTTTTTAAAATGTAAAACATAAAAACAACAAAGACTTAAAATGTTGAAGATGTCCTGATGAAATCTGTGAATGTTTAGATTCATTGGTGTTTCTACAGAGCAAACACAGAAGTTGGGTTTTAGAAATACAAGATGGGAACACGAGGCCGGAGAAGTAAATGCATCACAGAAGCTCCCTGCATGTGTTCAAATAAAGTACAAGTGATTTGCAATAAATAAAAAAGAAGCTCCATGAGACTGTTCACATCATCTAAGAAAGACTCGAACAGAACCTCGAATGTTAAAGTTCACTTCCTGTCTGTGTGGTCATTGTATTTTTACCACCTGAGCTAATGTGAATGCTGTAAAAGCACCCTGGCTTAAAAAGAAGCACACATTTGGAGAAATTGTGCTGTAACTTCAAGTTTTCCATCTTTTCTTTGATAAAAGAAAAACAAGTCATAAACTCCTTGGTATGTTGATATCATGTCAGTAATTCCCACAGACATGGTGTCATAAAGGCGAGTTTAACAGATAAGGTACGGTCCTCCATACAGCCTGTACTTCAACATAACCCTGACTGCCGTTTGGAAATTTAAATGACATTACAATTATTGTACATTACTCTAAAATCAGTGCTGTGAGAGTGACTTTAAGATCACATCCAGCTTTAAAACTGAATCTAACATCAGCATTCTTGGAAATAGCTCGAAGATATTAAGAGAATATGACAAATGCAATCACAGGATGGCAAAAAAAAGGACTTTAAAATGAGATCTTCTTGTTTCATTGGAACAGAAAAGTACCACAACAAAGAATATGTGCAGCTATGTAAGAACAAGCATCTGCTTTGGAGTTTTTCATGTTTTGCATGCAGACTCAGGGCTACTGGTCTCCTCTTGGCATTTTCTTATTTAAACGTTAGAACCTCAACACTGCATTGCCTTTTGCCATCAAACATTTCTTTCAGCCATCTGAAACACTGGGTTGTGGGGCAGCTGGTAAGGACTTGTGTGTTTCTGGAGAGTCTGCAAAGCTGTTTTGGTTGAAAAAAACTCTGCACGCTTCACTCGTCAGAAGGCTGTAAATTCGGCTCATTGGTCAGATCAAAACCATCTCCAACTCTCTTAGTGGCCGAAGCGAGAGCCCGCCTCTCTGAAAGGACTTTTCAGGTAGGCCTGGTGGGCGTGTCCTGTCTAGAGGATGGCCACACATGAAGTAGATGATCACATACACCTGCAGCTAATGAAGCGTCGTTGGGGAGCTTCTTAAGACTGTGGCTGAGTGCTCCTCGGTGTGGGATTGTTGTGTGAGACTCCACGTTAGTGGTGATAAATGTCAAGGCCGGTGAGTGCATGCCTGCGGTAGTCGAGTGTCCTGACAAGTTGCCTCTTTGTTATTTTCTCCAGCAAGGAGCAGGGAAGACAAGAGCAGCGAGCACGGGGTGCGAGGGCACACAGGAGCGGAAGAGCACGGACTTGTGGGTGAAGACACAACACGGAAGTCAAGGGGAAAACACGGGGATTTATTCTGTGAACTATTTACACCACTGTAAATAAACACACTGCCTTCATCATTAAGTCCTGCATCTTGGGTCCTCATTCCTCTCATCCCCACGGTCATACATTAGGCAAAGTTGGAGCTGCCAGGCATTAGGAGAAGAACCCTTGGATACAACAAGGACTTAACAGACATAAGCATAATAGTGTTTTTATGCCCGCTCAACAAACAGGCCTTTGTTGTCAGTATTAAGAAGAACCAGATGTTTGTAGAGAATGTAAAATATCTACATCTGATTGACTCACCCATACACACAATGTGCTGCAGTGATGACCCAGTATGGTGATATGATGGAGCCTCCACACAGGTGTTCATTCCTAAAATGGAGGCTAACTTGCCAGGGGAACTGGCCTTGTTTCGTGATGTTACCTCCAACAATACGTGTCCTGTACTGAGGCCTGAGACCGCAATCTGAGGGCACAGAGAAACAAAGTGTCAAGCAGTTATAGTGTCACCACCACAAGGTTAGTACTGTCCTATAGTGACAGTGTGTCGGCTGGGAACGAAATTTTAGAGCTTTTGTTTTTTCTTTTTTTCCTTTCTGTTTTTTTTCTGTTCAAGTTGTGTGTGATTGGTCGACTACAGGACATCAAATAGTCATTGCTATGCACTGAGCAGGAAGGGGAAGGGCGGGGGGAGGGGTTACAGACTCAGCACACACAAAATAAAAAGGGAGGGGGGGGGGGCTGAGACAGAGAAAGAGTCTGTCTTGTTATCTATCACTACAAAGATAACAAGCTGGAAAGGTGAGGAAATAAGTGATACACTTCAGTTGTTAAAATTGTTACATGGATGCTTTTTTTGAGTTTTACATATTTTAATTTATGTTATGTTGTTTGATCTTCTGTGTTGTTTCACTGTAAATAGTTCAAAGTTTATGCATATTGTACATACAATCAGTGAATGGATCTTTTCGTCCACCTGATTATAAACTGGTTTGGTATTTATTTTTGTACTTGAAAATTAATTTTTTTGCAGCATTGTCGTATGTTGAGGTTAATAAGCCAAATAAATAATAAACATTTGATATAATGTCTCCTGGGCTTATCCATTTCAGGGTCACGGGGATCCTGGAGCCCATCTCAGCTGCCATATGGCAGGAGGGGGGGCTTACCCTGCCCAGGCAGTTGCAGGGCTGACACAGAGAGACAGACAGCCAATCACACTTACATAACCCAGGACTTTCTTCTGTGCTGACCACTGCATCTTGAAATAATGCGTGTTTTGTAAATTAGTAATTTTACAGAGTAACGACAAACTAATGCAACAAGTAGCGTAAAGAATTTGTTTTTCCAGTGAAGAATTAAGGAATGTAATGGATTACTTTTAAGAAAATGTTACTTTTAGTAAATGTAATTAGTAGCAATGAAAGTGATGAGTAATGTGTAATACCTTACATTTGTGGGGTAACGACTTCAATACTGCTGACCAAAAAAAAGCCACTACTACTGCTACGTTGATGAAACCTTGCTCTGTACTAAACAATCTTGAAGGAGAAGGTCTCGCCTTCAGTTTAGGCCCTGAATCTTAAGCCCTTAGGCCTTGATTATGCAGCAGGTATGATCTGAAACATGCAGCAACTCTACTGCTTAAAGCCTAAAAGAAGGGGGAAAGAAGCAGATTTTGGAATGCCTGGCCTGCTGAAAAAACAAATTTCTACCATTTATACCGATTTAAGCATCACATTTAAGCATTTAAACAATGCTTAAATCGCAGCAAAACAGTTAAATTTGGTTTATTAAACATTAGGTCTCTCTCTTCTAGGTCCCTATCAATAAATGATTTAATAATTGGGCAGATATAGAGAGATAAAAGTCAGAAGGATAAACCAGATGTTCTCCATTAAACCATCCAAGATGTTCTTTCAGTGCCAGAGGAACAGTCTGAGAACATCATCACCAGGGCAGGAGGTGCAGCACTACTGGAAGAGCATATGGGAGAAGGATTGCATAACAATAATGCTCAGTGGTTGGTGGATCTAAGAGCAGACCATGGTAATCTCCACCCTGAACATGCTTCAGTCACAGTCACAATGGGAGACATCCAAGAAACAGCATGAAGAGTTGGACAGGACCAGGGCCTGCTCTCCAATTTGCTCAATAGGTTAACTGTACTCAATGAGTGTCTGGCAGCACAAACTAACCAGCTGCTAATGCATTTGATGCACCCAGAATGACCAGCTGCAGGCCAGATAGTCCTGATCCTCAAGAATCTCCAAAAGGGACTGGTCCCATCCAACTACTGGCCAAAAATCTGCCTCAGCACAGCACGGATGCTCCTGGCATCATAGCGGCTAACATGAATAGGCACATGGTTCATACTCTAATATCTAGAACTGTACAAGATTAACAGGACCCTAAGAGCCGTCATCAAGAATAAAATGGAGATGGGCGGAAAAACACAAGAGGTTAACTGTTCGGTGTAGGCCTAAACCCCCCCAGCCAGATCATCAGCAAGTCTGGCTACAGATACCGAATTCAGAATGGAGCAAACACCCTCTACATGGATGACATCAATCTGTTCGCCAGGAGTGAACGAGACATCAGTTCACTGATTCACACCACTAAGATCTAACAGAAGTGACATCGAAACTTCATCCGGTCCGGAGAAGTGTAGTCAGATGGTAACAAAGAGTGGGAGAAGACAACATTACAGACATCAAGGACCTCAGAATCCCAAAGGCAAATATGAACCATGAAGAGGCTGCTAGGAAAGCTGTAACCACCAAATACCTACAGAGTAAGGTAAGTCCTGAGGACTCAGATGAATGGGAAGAAAAAGATCCGGCCAACACCTGTGCCCTGCTGTTTGTCAGATACCCTGCTGATACAATAATTGGTCAAAGGAGAAGACAGAAGACACTGACATCAGGTCAAGAAAGCTCCTTACCATGCCACGAGGGTTTCACCCCAAGTCCAGCAGAAGCAGAAGAAAGGAGGCCAAGGACTAGTGTGTGTCTAAACCACTCTCCATCAGCAGAAACCCAAGAAAGAAGAGGGGCGAGAAGAGAAACCATTATAGAAGGACGTGCCCTTGTGCAACATGTACTGGCAGATAGAAGAAGTAACTAATATTGAGAAATCCTAACAATGGCTGGACAAAGCTGGACTGAAAGACAGGACAGAGGCAATAATCATGGCAGCACAGGAACAAGCTCTAAGCACAAGATTGAAAGGAGCTGGAGTTTACCACACCAGGCAGGGCATACATGGAGCGCCATAACCAAGTGGCTAGAATAGTACACAGTGACATCTGTGTCAAGTATGGCTAGGAAGCCCCTTGGAAGTGAAAATGGGATATGCCCCCCAGGGTGGTTGAGAATGACCAAGCTGAGATCCCGGGGGACTTCCAGATACAGACAGCCAATCTGGCATTGACACTGCATGAAGAGTAGGCTAAGTATCAGGTTATGCTTTATAAGCAGGCAGTATATTAGAAGGGATTTGTACTCTTCTGGATTTGTTTGTACCCTGGAAGCAGCAATGTTTGGGTTTTAGCATGACATGTAGAGGAGGTCAATTGATCCTCTGACTCGTGTGTTGTAAAAATATGGCTAAATAGATTCCTTTATTAAGGCTTTTATCTCATTAATAGTGATGATCAATAGTAGATCATTATGAGACTGAGATTTGACAAGAGGTTTATGGACACGTTTAAAGTATCCAAGCAAATTTAAGTGAAATGGCTGTTTTGATTCATGTACAAGGGAACTTGGTTCAGCTGTTCCTAGTTCTTCTCTGCCAGGTGTCAGAACGAGTTGCAGTAAAACGAGTTGCTTAAATTACTGCTAGAACATGATGCAAGGAAACAAAATGCAGAAAATGAGAAGCAGTTAGCAATGGAGAGAATGTGTTTGGAAAGCTGTGGAGAGATATAGGCTATATTTGATTAAAAGTGGAAAACTGAAATCTTGTTGAGCTGCGGTATTCTTTATTTTACCATTGGACTGAAAAGTATTATATTTTGTGCAACCTGACACTGTTGTCAAAATTTAATGAAAATGATTCAGAAAACTTTTTTCTTCTTGCTCGAACATGTTTCACATCAATGACAGTGGCTCGATACTGCTGACACCAATGCTACAGTTTGCACTGGAAGTTTACTTGTCTTTGTTTTCTGAAGAAAGACAAAGTTCAAGGTTCTTTATTCTAAGTTATTATGTTGTAAAAGCAGCTTTCTTGACGCTTACAGGGAACGATTTGGGACTTGGAAAAAAAGGAGGACAAACAATCTTGAGTTTATCTGTTCACATCAAACCCTGTAGGCTGGGTTAGGCTTACAGGGTTATAGTCTTGGATCAGTTTAAAATTTGGATTCTTGAGGCTATAGTTGCACATCAACAATTAAAAAGCAAACACTGCTACTGAAGCTGCTGCTCTAGCAGAAGATTATATGGTGGCTCATGAGTGTGTTTTGGGGGATTCTCATAACCCTGGTACTACAGTTGAAGCAAGTGCTGATTCTGTTAGTGTTTCTGACCAGTCAGGTGGATCAGAGGTCAACTTGTACAACCTGGACAAAGTCTGTAACTTTTGTCATAAAAAGGGCCACTGGAAGGCTGCTTGCTATGCTCTTAAAGCTAAATCTAGACAAAATAGTTTTTGTCTAGAGTAGTTTGTTTAGACTAGTTTTCAAAGGAGAGTGACACAGGTTCCTCTCTCCTAATTGTAGGGGATATATATATTTGCTCTATATATATATATTTTATAGCTTTATTTCAAAAAAAGCAATGAAGGATTAAAATCGATTAAATTTAAGTTTTCACCTCACGCCTTTCTACATACAATAAACTCAAAATTCTTGCAAATTTATTGAAAATAAAAAACATAAAATGCACAGGATTGTATTGAGGGATAGATCAGGGAGAGGGTAAAGAAAATGTTCCGCAACAAAGAGCACAGCAGCCACCATCATTCATAAATGAAAGACCATGACTCTTCCTACAGCTGGCCAACCAGCCAATCTGATCAATAAGGGTAGAAGACCATTAGTCATAGAGGTGACCAAGACCGTTGCTCTGTAGAGAAGGACTGCAGCTCTTCACCACTACTCAACTACTCTTTCAAGGATGTTTGATATGAAAGGAAGGTTGGAGATTGGCCTATAATTAGCTAAGACTGCTGGGTCTAGAGATGCTTTTTGAGTAAAGGTTTAACTGCAGCCAGCTTGAAGGCCTGTGGTACATAGCTGATTATTAGAGATTGAAGAATTAATTAATGGCAGGACTTCTTTGAGCAGTTTTGTAGGAATGGGGTCTAAAAGACACGTTAATGGTTTGGAGGAAGTAATTATTGAAGTTAACTCAGAAAGATCAATTGGAGAAAAAGAGTCTAACTTAACATCAATGGTACTAAGAGTAGCTGTAGATAATATTACATCTGTGGGATGATTATTGGTCATTTTTTCTCTAATGATTAAAATTTATTTGTGGAGAAGTTCATGAAGTCATTACTAGTTAACGTTAAAGGGATGGTTGGCTCAAAAGAGCTCTGACTTTTTGTCAGCCTGGCTACAGTGCTGAAGAGAAACCTGGGGTTGTTCTTATTTTCTTCAATCAGTGATGAATAGTAAGATGTTCTGGCTTTGCGGAGGGCTTTCTTATAAAGCAGCAAACTATTTCTCCAGGCTAAATGATGATCCTCTAAATTTGTGACACGCCATTTCCTCTCCAGATTACGAGTCATCTGCTTTAGGGTACGTGTTTGAGAATTATACCACGGAGTCAAATACTTCTGATTTGAGGCCTTTGAGCTACAGTATCCAGAGTCGTATGTTGTTAAAACAAGATCTAGAGTGTGATTAAAGTGGTGGGTGGCCTCTTTTACATTTTGAGAGAAGCCAATTGAGTCTAATAACAGATTAAATGCCATGTTGAGGCTGTCATTTTTAGCATCTACATGGATGTTAAAATCATCCACAATAATTATTTTATCTGAGCTGAGAACTAAATCAGATAAAAAGTCTGAGAAATCAGACAGAAACTCTGTGTAAGGCCCAGGTGGACGATAGATGATAACAAGTAAGACTGGTTTCTGAGTTTTACAGCTGGGGTGGACGAGGCTAAGCATCAGGCTTTCAAATGAATTAAAGTCTGTCTTGGTCTGTGGTTGATTAATAGAGGAAAATAGGTGTGGCAAGCTTGTAGCATCATACTTGAAAAGATGTAAAACTGTAAATCCTGTCCAAGGTGCTTCAACAAAGCATTGAGCAAACACTGTGAATACTTAAATACGCATGTTATATTGTTTCACTTTTTTCTCTATGTCATGATGGGGTATTGTTTGCAGAATTTGGAAGTGAAAAGCTAATTTAATCCATTTTGAAATAAGACTGTAATATGACAAAACACAGAACAAGCAAAGTGTGTGGAAAACTTTCTTATATAATAAAAACATCAATAAAACAAATGCTGCATGCTTTCTCACCTAGACATTTTAGAGTTGTCACCAGCCCTGAGCTGCACTGTGTCTTGCTGTGGTGAAATAGAAACCATAGGTCAAATGACATGGAAGCTCAGCCGAACTGAACACATACAACAAGTTAAAACACTCTTATACCTTAAAACGAAAGCTTCAAAATACTTTGATGGTGTACTGGACTAAAAGATCTTTTATTAATCTCGTTCCCTCTAAGCTTTAATATGACCTACTTCTTCTCTTTAAATGCTCAGCCACTGGACAGCTGTAGATCACGAGGTAATTGGTGGGTTGTAATTTGATGTCTGGCTCCTCTGGTCTGTATAGTAAAGTGTTCTTGATACTAAAGCCAGTGAAGTGTATGTTTGCACACTGTTTTACCCAAAGTATTTGCTTTGGTTGGGTGAGTGAATACTCTGGCAGAATTGATTTCAATAGTGTTCTGTAGCAGTCTGTGGTCATCAGAAGTCTTTGATGTTTTCATGCGTGACCCCAGGGTACGTCTATAGAGTTCAGATGTGGCTGATATAGTAACAGTTTGTCTCTTTTGAATTTGTAATGTTTTCATAGTTTTGTGAAAATATTTATAGCGCTCATTGCTGTGTAACAGACCGTTTTTGGAGAGTATTTTGTTTGACTGGTTAATATTGAGGCGCAATTTTTTTTTTTTTTTTAAATTCTGATTGGCTAATTGGATGACAACAGCAGTGTTATCACTTTGGGGCAAATACACACTTTCCATTTACTCAAACAGGACAAAAGGTGTGTACACCTGATAGATGGGGCGTTCTGAAGCTTGATTATCTGTGACTTGTTCCACTGAAAAGACATCAGGTCAGTCTGAAGGTCCTTCTCAATGTAGGTCAGAGAGATGAAGAAAGACTCTAAATAACTGAAAAACAAAAGGGTCAGGGTTATGTTCATATATCTTCATATATCTATCCTTCATAGTCTGACATCCTGTGAGACTTTCATGTCTTGGATCTGTTACGGCTCACACAGATACATTTCAGGGTTTGACAGTCCTGTTTGTCTTTTCCTCTGAAGGTGATGCACGTTGCAAAATTGTCTTTGTTAAACCAACGATTACTGTTGTTTCAAAACCATAATTACTCTGTGACCTAAACCATCTATTTCTTACTGTAGTTGGAATGATAAAAGCCCTGTAAACACAGTTGTTTTTATGCTCCAACTAAACTCTAACTGTACTCTCTTATGTGCAGTAAGAGTTTAGTTTCATAACACTTAATGTCTTTTAAACGTGCTATACAATTAAAGCTGACTTGACTCTTACTTTAATTTTTAAATAAATTTTTGGTCCAGCAGTCTTTATAATTTATCTTCTGCTGCCAGCATAAACCAAACTAGCCAAATTCATTTTGAATGGTAAATGGCCTTATATAGCGCTTTACTAGTCCCTAAGAACCTCAAAGCACTTTACACATCCAGTCATCCACCCATTCACACACTGGTGATGGCAGCTACATTGTAGCCACAGCCACCCTGGGGCACACTGACAGAGGCGAGGCTGCCGGACACTGGCGCCACCGGGCCCTCTGACCACCACCAGTAGGCAACGGGTGAAGTATCTTGCCCAAGGACACAATGACTGAGACTGTCCAAGCCGGGGCTCGAACTGGCAACCTTCCGATTACAAGGCGAACTCCCAACTCTTGAACCACGATCGCCCCACATTTTGCAGCATAATAACAAGCCCAAACATCGAACCACAGTCACAATGAATCAGTGATGTGAACAGAGCAGGGACACAAGGAGGGAGGGTTCAAGGTAACAGCCATTTAACCAAGTAAGCAATCCTTTCCTTCAAGCATTATTTTGAAGTGATGTCAGTTGCAGATGACGTTGGACACAAACTGAATAAGTTTTCTTCATATTTTTGGACATATAGTATCTCTAGTACTATATTATCAGTATCTCAGATGTTACAGTATTCATGGATGTTCCATCTTCCACAAGTTAATAAACAAAATACATCCCAGACAGTTAGAGCTCTATTGCAGTAACTGTACTGTAATTTAATTGGAGATAGTTTACTCTGGTCAAATGGACCACTGGTCCACCACCTTTGGAGCAGTGGTCCACTTTTTGAAAGTCCATCCAAAACATGTGCTAAACAAAAAAAGGACACGAATAAGAAATGTATCATCTCAGCCTGACAACTAGACACTGCAGAAATGAATGAAACATTGGTGTAACCTGGAGTATCCAAGCTGCTTGCAGGCAGCTCTGCCCAGCCTGTTGTTCCAATCTTCTGAGCAGACTGTCCTCCATTTTCCCTGGATCTGAACCTGCAGGACTGAACTTCTGCCACTCAGACGCACTGAGAGACAGACACATGCGACACAGACAGGAAATTACAAGAAGGGAGACGGTACACTATCCTGTTTTCTAAAACATAGAACTGCTGTTCTGGCATCTTCAGTTAATGCCAACTGAGCACATCTGAGCTCAGGAGCTAAGCAGAGCCAGGCCTGGTTGTATGGGAGTCCACCTGAGATCCCCCCCAGATCCTGTGTGTTTGTCCTGCAGGCTGGCATTGCTGTGAGCTGACCACACGGAGAAACTCACACAGTAATATGAAAACAGTGTCATCCCACAGCCTGTTTACACCCTCAACACATCCTTTTTTCTTCTCATGCTTGTGGTGCTGTAGATGTCACTAAAGTTGTGGCCACTTCATTTCAAACTGTTAAAAAATCCCAGCAGAAGCACAAATATTTCTGCACAGTTTGCACAAAATGTGTCTGCTAGCTAAACGTACAGTTGCTGTATTTCCACATGTGGAAATATTAAAACACTAAACAACACTTCCAGTCTATACAGTATGGCTATGTGTGTGTGTGTGTGTGTGTGTGTGTGTGTGTGTGTGTGTGTGTGTGTGTGTGTGTGTGTGTGTGTGTGTGTGTGTCTGTCTTACCACAGCCAAGTTCGTCTTCCCCATTTTTGCAGTGAAGTTTTCCGTCACACAGGTAAATGCTGTTGATGCACTGAGACGAGGAGCCACACTGAAACCTCCCCGAACAGCTCAGGCCCACTGTAGGCACAGATGAAACTGTCGATAAGGAAGGTTCTAGAAGTACTGAATGATCTTGTTCAGTGTTCGGTAATACTGCAGACATAAAGAGAAAAGATGGGCAACCTGCATTGTTTCCTGTGGGCACCAGGCAGGAACACCTCTGCTGGTCTGTAATAAGGTATTTTGTTGCTTGTGTGGAGTAAATGTTATTTTTGTTTCAGTATTTTTTGTATTTATTAATTATTTACTGAACATTTTAATAATTTGTGTGATTCTGTCTGAGCTGCCATGTTAAGTTTTGTGAATTAGAGCTTTGATAAATAAAAATAATGCTCCACTAAATTCTGCCTCTGTCATTCTTGGTCATTCTTCACACAGTCCTATTAAGGTTGTGACCACCAACCACGTGACATATCGAACGTGCAACAATCCTGACACTTCAGTGGCTCCATTTTTGCAAAATGTAGAGAGTTACCACAGCACTGAGCTCCTTACATCCAAGGCCAACGCTGAGCAGGACAGCCACCCCGAGGATGCAGCAAACAGCGAATATCAGAACGGCAAAGCGATGGGCTAAGATTCTGCTCTTCCAGCTTTTATCCATGTCATCTTCTGTGGACAGACGGGGGTTAGTGAAAATTCGCTGTGCCAACAATATACAATATGAGCACCTGAGTTTCAAAAGTTTTTCATCTCCAACACTAAATGGCTCTTAAGTTTAGGCTTTATTACACTGACTGTGTGCTTTATTTAGTCATCGCATTTTACATCCGAGGAAACACACTGTGTCCCTTTGCAAACACTGATCTAGCAGCAAGATTATTTTGACATTTTTCAAGACGATTGTCAAAATAATTTTCTTCAATATTACTCAGACCTTTTTGGTAGAAAGCAAATTGTAAAAGTCATTTTAAAAAGGGAGACGTAAAGACGTTCATGTAAGAAAGAGCTGAATCTGTAAAAGATCTTTTGCATTGTATTTAGTTGGATTTTGTGCTGATCTCCTTTTAGTTTTAGCCTTGAACAGTAATATTTCCATTATGTCATGCAAGTACATATTCACCCCTGGAGTATCACAGCATCTCACCATGCATAAATGGCTGCACTTTGGTAATGGGCATGGCTGGACTGGGTGGAGGTTGGGGATCTGCGGGTTTAGTGCAATAGTTCCCTGACTGTGGCTCAATGACAAAGCTGCCCAGGGGGCTGATGTTCAGACTGGTGGGGGTCTCGACAGTAGGGAGGTCTTCTTCTGTCACCGAGACCACATCTATCGTGGAGGAGCCTGGTTGCTCCGGTGCGTCTTTCTTTGGTTCCTACGTGTAAGATTGAAAAACAAAAAGGGGAAATCAGATACAATACAACTCTAACAATGTTCAGTTTATTTGATAGACTATGTGACATTTACAGCCAACTCAAGACTTGCTAGAAAAATGTTTGTGTTATGTGTGACTGTCAAACTAAAACGTCTAAATACCCAAATTTGCTGTAAACCAGAACTAGCTTGGGCTAGCAGCAACATCTGGGCCTGATGATTAAATAGTTGAATTGTTTTCCTAATTGAACTATAAGTCATGGACATGACTGCTCGGGCCCACAGGTCAGCTGACACTGGCCACTATAACTGTTTTAGAATAGAATAGAATAGAATAGAATTCAACTTTATTGTCATTGCACATGCA